CCCCCCACCTCCGTGCTCTGCCCACTAGTCCCCCCTTCCCCACAGCCCTGGGTACCTCTATGTCTCGCCAGGCCAGGCCATGCCTGTGTTCCCGCAGGAAGCTGTGCCAGGCCTGCCCGCTGGCGCTCGCTCCCGGCACCTCCCGGAGCAGCAGCTCCGCGTCGCGGGCGGGCAGGCGCCCGTCGCCATCAGAGTCCAGCAGCTGGAAGTCCCAGTAAAGCTGGGGGGGGGGGGCATAAGGGACAAGGCTGAAGTCAAAGGCCCCCCTCCCCCTGGCTCGCTGGCCCAGGGCCAGCCCCTGCCAGCAGGCAACAGTAGTGGGCTGTTATCCCAGCATGGTGGGCAATGGGCTCTGTCCTGGGTCACATCAACGGTAGCTCCCCCTCGCCCCTGTGCCGAGTCGGGCTGTCGTGGGGGGGGGGGAGATGTGGGGCCCCTGGGGAGATGAGGCCAAGGGGTCGTGTCAGCCTGGATCCAAGGCCCCCATCGGCCGCAGATGCCCGTGGGGTGTCTGCAGAGGGCAGACGGGTGGGGAGACGCTGCGGAGCCGGGGAGCCAAGCCGGAGTGGGGGAGCATAGGGGGCAGATGGTGGGGAGATGCTGCAGAGCCGGGGGGAGCCCAGGGGGCAGGATGCAGACGGGGCTGGGGGTGGGGGGAAGAGATGCTACAGCTCAGCTCTGGGAGCCACCGAGCGAGCGCAGGGCCGCAGCCAGGGGGCGAACGCGGCTGGACCCCCAGGGCCACGGGAGCCCAGGGCTCAGCCCCTCTGCCACACAGGGCGGGCCCTGGGATGGGGGCACTTCCTCCCAGCCACTGGTGGGGCGGGCGCTGGCTAGGACCTGGACAGGCCACACAGTGACGGGCGCTGCCACAGGGGGGCACTAGAGAGCCAGGGGCTGCCCCCTTCCCTGGGGTCTGGCTGCTCCACGGGTCACAGCCCTGCCTAGATCCCTGCCCCACTCCACAGGGTCTGCCCCAGCCCAGCTCACCTGTGCCCGTAAGTGATGCCGCCATCCTGCCACCAGCAGCGTCTCCAGCAGCATCTCGGCGCAGAAGCTGCCCTGGGGCCCAGCCCCACAGCCCTGGGGGGAGAAGGACTCAGAGGGGTGGGGACTGTGCCAGCAGCACCCGTCTGCTCCCCAGCAGCTGCTGCAGGAGGGCACAGCAGGGGCCCCGGGAGGGGGCATCACGGCAACGTGCAAACTGGGCACTGGCAGGCAGGGTCAGCCCCAGGGGGACTGAGTGGGGAGCCCAGGGCTGGGGTAGCAGGGGGCTGTGGGTCGGGAGTGAGGGGCATCGGCACAGCTGGAGGGTAGGGGGCTGCGGGTCGGGAGTGAGGGGCACTGGCAGAGCTGGGGGGAGCTCAAGGCTGGGGTAGCAGGGGGCTGTGAGTCGGGTTTGTGGGGCACTGGCAAAGCTGGGAGGGGCAGGGGGCTGCAGGTCGGGAGTGAGGGGCGCTGGCAGAGCTGGGGGTGGGGAGCCCAGGGCTGGGATAGCAGGGGGCTGTGGGTCGGGAGTGAGGGGCGCTGGCAGAGCTGGAGAAGGGGGGAGCCCAGGGCTGGAATAGCAGGGGGCTGCGGGTCGGGAGTGAGGGGCACTGGCAGAGCTGCGGGGAGCTCAAGGCTGGGGTAGCAGGGGGCTGTGGGTCAGGATTGTGGGGCACTGGCAGAGCTGGGATAGCAGGGGGCTGCAGGTCGGGAGTGAGGGGCACTGGCAGAGCTGGGGGAGGGGAGCCCAGGGCTGGACTCGCAGGGGGCTGTGGGTTGGGAGTGAGGGGCACCGGCAGAGCTGAGGCAGGGGGCTGGCAATGGGGCTGCGGGGTCCAGCTCCGGGAGCCAGTCCGGCCCATGGGGGCGAGGGGGAGACCAGCCCCCACGTGGCAGCTGCCCAGATGTGGCAGTGATGGGCACTGAGAGACGGAGCAGCTGTGCGGGGCCGGTCTAACCTGGTGCGTGGCCCCTGGCCTCTGGGCCCCCTGCGGGTGGAGGCCGCGCAGCTCCTGTAGGCTCGGGGTCCCCTGGGGCACTGGGTCCATCTCGGGCAGCTGGTGGTCAGCCAGCCTGCGGGGGAGGTGGTGATCAGCTCCCCTGAGGCTCGGAGCCAGGACCCTGCCCCCCCCCATGGCACCCCACACAGCTCCCCGGCATTGGGCCCCAGGACTCCCCCCAGTGTCTGGCGCTGCTGGTTTGATCCCAGTGATGGGGTCACCCTGGCACCATGGCCCCCAGGGGCTCAAAGCCTGGAGGTGGCTGGGCAGCCCACACCGGGCCCACAGACTTGGGGGGGGGGCCAGACCGACCCAGGGAGGGCCCTGCAGGGTGCCAGGGCTGGGAGCCTGGCCCGGGCTGGCAGTGGGCTGACGCCCCCCGAGTGGGCAGTGCCTGTGTCCCCAGCCTGCAGCGATGCCCCGCAGATGCTCACGAGGGGTGTCCGAGAGGCTTCAGCCCTGAGCAGATGCGGGTGCCTGTCATGCTGCCCTGCACCCATCACCACAGCCTCTGGGCCGTGCCTGGGGGCAGCTGGTGCCCAGGGGGGATCGTACCTGGTGGTGGCTGTGTCGAGCGCCCGGCTCCCCGGCTGCTGGCAGCTCTTCAATTATACATGGGCAGCAGGTGTTGGGTTCCGGACATCTGAGCTGCTGGGGGGGCAGCTCCCTCCCCTGCCCAGGGCTCTGCCAGGTGACCTCCTGCCCCCACCTGGCCCAGGGGGTGCCCCACCCCAGTGGGCAGCCTGTGGTGCTGGGGGGTGCCAGGCCCCGGCTGCCTGGCGAGCATCTCTGGGGCTGGGCGCTGCAATGGCCTGTCTGACCCAGCGTGACGGGCGCAGCTTGGCACGGCTCTGCCGTTCCTCCCCTGGCACCAGCCCTTTTGCTGAGGGTCCCTGGCCGAGCTCCTGGCATCAGGGCAGGGGGCAGAATGGCCCATATGGCTGGGAGGGGATGAAGAGAACCCGCCCCTCCCCCACCCATCAGGGCATTTCGTCAAGGACCCTTCAGGGAGGAATAACAGGATTTCTATAGCAGCAGCCAGCCCCAGTGACCTCCCAGAGCCGGGCAGAAAACCCAGGAGTCCTGGCGCCCAGCCCCAACCCCCTCTAACCGCCCCTCTCCCCTCCCAGAGCAGGGCAGAGAATCCAGGAGTCCTGGCGCTTATCCCCACCCTGCTCTAACCACCCAACTCCCCTCCCAGAGCCGGGCAGAGAACCCAGGAGTCCTGGCGCTTATCCCCACCCCGCTCTAACCGCCCCTCTCCTCTCCCAGAGCCGGGCAGAGAACCCAGGAGTCCTGGCGCCCAGCCCCACCCCGCTCTAACCGCCCCTCTCCCCTCCCAGAGCAGGGCAGAGAACCCAGGAGTCCTGGCGCTTATCCCCACCCCGCTCTAACCGCCCCTCTCCTCTCCCAGAGCCGGGCAGAGAACCCAGGAGTCCTGGCGCCCAGCCCCACCCCGCTCTAACCGCCCCTCTCCCCTCCCAGAGCCGGGCAGAGAACCCAGGAGTCCTGGCTCCGGCAGCCCACACTGTGGGAGATCAATTCCCGCTCTCTGCGGATCTCCCTCCGAGCTGGACTCTCCTTTGCCAGCGTGGGGCGCTGGCTGACAGCAGCGTCGCTTCGAGAGGCTGGCGTGGGGCTCTGTGCCAGCTGCAGGCAGCCTCCCCCCGGAGCATCAGTGGCACCCCAGGGGGATGGAGAGAAATGGGGGGAGGTTATAGAGCCGGTGACAAGCTGCCATCCGGGGAGAGGGAGCTCCGCAGGGTGCCAGGCAGGCACCACTAGTGATTTCACAGCAGCAGGGCCCAGGGGCATGGGCGGGGCAGGGCGCAGTGCCCTGGGAGACAACCCGCTGGCACCTGGTGAGGATCTGGAGGGCACCTGGGAAGGGGCATAACCAGAACGTGGCCCCAGGTGCCCAGAGCACTGCGGGGGGCGGGAATCTCTGCCCACAGCAGATCACCCACTGCGATATGCATGGGCATGGCTGGCACCTGGCCGGGGAGCTGCACCGCAACCCTTGGGGGCCAGGCGGGCAGCAGGGAGCCACGGCTGCCAATGCACCCCTGGCAGGCGCCCGGCCAGGGCCACGCACTGCCACGAGCTAGCTGCCCACGCTGGGTCATGGGCCACAGGCCCCCACCGGCCAGAAGCCGCTGCCCAAGGACCAGACGCTTGCCCATGGTTACCGCTTTTATTGCCGTGGGCACGGGGGGGGGGGGGTGAGGCCTGGCTCAGCCCCCAACGCACTAATAAATACACCCGCCCGCGCCCAGCCAAAGGGGGCACCGCCCCTGGTGCCTTGCCCCAAGTCCGGGGAGACGGCCAGCCCGTCTGTGCCAGGACTCAGCACCCGTGTGACTGGCTCATGGCACCCACGGTGCCCCCCGGCACACAGCTCAGCCATTGGGTGCTGGGCAGGGTGGATCCAGATGGGGGACTCCATGCCAGCCTGCGTGTCCAGCAACAGTTGTGCCAGGGCACTGTTACCCCAGGGGGCCTGCAGGACCCGATGCTAATGGCATGGATGGGACACTGAGGCCCAGGGGGCGTCGGGGATAGAACCCAGGAGACCGGGCTCCCCACTCTGTGCCGCCGGGTTGAGGAGAGGGGCCTGAAGCCATTGCAGTGGGTGTGTGGGGGCCGTGCCCTCCCAGCCTGGCACCCTGCCCCTCCTGTACTACAGCCACCTCCATGGGAAGGGAGCCCGGCCTGGGGATGATGATGGGGAGGGGGCGCCAGACCTGCCCCACACAGAGCCACTGGGGGGGCAGCAGCGCCTGGCATTTCCTGCCCCTTGAGGCGTCTCTGAGCCTGGCTGGGGCAGCCTGGGGGGGGAATCCCAGGGGAAAATGGGGGGACAAGGGGGTGGCAGGCACCAGGCACCAACTGGGCACCAACTGGGAATGTGGCTGGGCCCAGGGCCATGGGGGAGGGCGTGGGGGTCCCGGGGGCTGCGGGAGGAAGGGTGGCCGGGCCCGGGGCCATGGGGGAGGGCGTGGGGGTCCCGGGGGCTGCGGGAGGGAGGGAGGCTGGTCCTGGGGCCATGGCGGAGGGCACACATCCCGGGGGCTGTGGCAGGGAGGGTGGCCGGGCCCGGGGCCATGGTGGATGGCGCAGGCGTCCCCGGGGCAGGGGCTCGGGGGGCTCAGAGGCTGCCGTAGACGACCTGGGGACAGGCCTCGGGCAGGACGCAGTGGGCCTCGTGCTCCACCCGCCCGGCGGGGCACTGGCACCCGGGCATGCAGGGCGTGAAGCAGCGCGACTCGATGGCCCCCAGCGGTGCGTCCTTGTTGTAACACGTCTTGGGGCAGGGCGGGCCGCACTCGTCGAACACGTAGCCCCGGTCCTGGGGGCAGCCGACGGCTGCGGGGAGACGGGGGGGTCAGTGCCAGGGCTCGGGGCGGAGGGAGGCAGTGCTGGGACCTGCCTACCCCCTCACCCCAGGCTCAGCCCTGAGGGTGAGAAGCCAGAACTGCCCCCGCCGCCATGAGGCCGCACTGAATTTCCTCAGTGGGGTGGGGGCAGTTTCTGTGTCCCCACATCTGGGCTAGCACAGGGCCTGCCCCCCACAGGTCCTGCCCCCCCAATCTGAGCCAGCCCAGCGCCTGCCCCCCATAGGGTTCCCTCTCCGATCTGAGCCTGCCAAGGGCCTGTCCCCCAATCTGAGCCAGCCCAGGGCCTGCCCCCAGCAGGGCTCCCCCCCCACAATTTGAGCCAGCCCAGGGCCTGCCCCCCACATGGCACCCCCCCCGGGCCCGCCCCCCCCCAGGGGCTCCCCCCAATCTGAGCCAGCCCAGGGCCTGCCCCCCCAGGGGCTCCCCCCGCTCTGAGCCAGCATGGGTCCTGCCCCCCGACCTGTGGGGGTCAGTGCCGGGCCGGGGCTGCGAGGGTTTGGGGGGAGGATTGGGAAGCGCTGCCCCCCCTCACCGCAGAGCGTGGGCGAGCGCCAGCGCAGAGCCAGCCCGGCCCGGCGGCACAGGGCAGCGTAGGCCTCCAGCGCGTCGCACAGGCACTGGTCGGCGCCGGCCCCGCAGGCGCACAGGTCGTAGACGCAGGCGGCGAAGAAGGGCTCCGGGGGCACCAGGGGGTGGCAGGGCTCGAATGCCCCCGACTTCAGCACCTTGCAGCGGGCGTTGGCCTCCTTGCGGGCACGGTAGCCGGCCTCCTTGCAGGGATCCACATCCCGCCCGTCGGCACACGGCCCGCCCGTGCCGTTCCCGCTCTGCACCTGCCCCAGAGACGCCGTCAGCGCCGGCAGGGGGCAGCGCCCCCAGCACCCTCCCAGCCTGGGCCTGGCAGCCGCCTGGCTCTCTGGGGGACCCAGCAGAGCCCAGGGGCTGCAGGGAGGGAGAGCACGGGCTGGGGGACCAGCGCCCCATGGTGGCGCTAGGGGGCGCAGTCCTGCGAGGATGGGGGGCTCAGCAGGGGGAGCTCTCCCCTGGCAGTCAGTGCTGGCTCCAATACCCTGGTGTGGCACTGGGGGGTGCTGCAGGGAGCAGGGCAAGCGGGGCTGTTAACCCGTGTCCTGGCTGTCTCCTCCCTTCTGCCTCGAATCCCCCCTAGTCGGGGGTCACAGCCCTCACTCCAGGGCACCTGGGGGTCATGACGGGCACCCTAGAGGGATGCTGAGAGCTTCCTCCGCCGGCCCGGTCCTGGGTGGCAATGTGGGGGGGAAAGGGAGCTGGGACGGGGGGCGATGGGGGGAAGGGAGCCAGGCCGGGGGGGCGGGCGATCGGGTAAAGGGAGCTGGGCTGGGGGGTGTTATGGGGGGAAGGGAGCCAGGCTGGGGGGCAATGGGAGGGAAGAAAGCCGGACTGGGGGGGATTATGGGGGGAAGGGAGCAGGGCCGGGGGGGCGTTGGGGGGGAGGGAAGAGAGCCGGGCTGGGGAGGGTTATGGGGGGAAGGGAGCCGGGCTGGGGGGCAATGGGGGGAAGGGAGCCAGGCCGGGGAGACGTTGGGGGGGGAAGAGAGCCGGGCTGGGGGGGTAATTGGGGGTTAAAGAGCCGGGCTGGGGGGTTCATGGGGGGAAGGGAGCCAGGCCGTGGGCGGCCGCAGGATCTGTCTCTGTGCTCCTGGGGCGGCCCCGCCCGGCCCCCGCTCACCCTCCAGCTGTTGCCGAAGGCGGCCTCGGCGCGGGCCAGCTGCCCCGAGCGCAGGCGGGCGTCGTCCTGCGGGTGGCCGTTGAAGTCGCCGCACAGGCCGCACGTGTGCCCCTTGTAGGTGCCGGGCACGCTGACCTCCAGTTGCGAGCGCCCGCTCCACAGGACCTGGGGGGAGAGGGGAGATGGGCAGCACCCCACCATGCGGGGCACAGAGCCCAGCCAGCTGCTGGTCACGTGCCGCTCCGCCTGCCAGGCCCAGGGCTGGATCGGGCACTGCCAGGAGGGGTCTGCAATACCCGTGTGGCAGCGCCCTCCCGCTGGCGCAGCCTGGATTGGGGGCCCGGCGACGGCACCCCAGCGGGCAGCAGCAGGCAGGGGACCCCCACGCCCGGCCGTTACCTTCACCCCGATGTTGGTGTTGAGCAGGATGGTGTTGGTTTGGCGCTCGACGTAGAGGTGGGGCTCCTTGAGGAAGGGCAGGGTCACCACCTGGCCGTCCACCTGGGAGGGGAGAGCAGTGCCTCAGTGGGCACCACAGGACACCGGGGTCCCACCTGTGCAGCCTGGCTCCCTCCTGCCTCTAGGTGACCTCCTGTAACCGCACCAGGGCCCCGCCCCGCCCAGCACAGGCTCCAGGCGACCTCCCCATAACCGCACCAGGGCCCCGCCCAGCCCAGCACGGGCTCCCGGCGACCTCCCCGTAACCACACCAGGCCCTGCCCCGCCCAGCATGGGCTCCAGACCCGGCTCCAGTGGCGGGCAGAGGTTCGGGGTGCAGTGGGTGTCCAGCCCGGCAGCGTTGCCCATCTCACCCTGACCAGCCAGTCCTGCAGCAGCTGCACCATGACGTCCCCGACTCGCACTGTCACCTCCTTTGTCCAGGCCACGCCCGGGCGCCCCCTGTCGTCATTGGTCACGTGGATGCTGCGGGCAGGAGACGGGCCCAGGGTCAGTAGGCCGGGGTGTGAGTCGGGGGGCTTTCCTCGGTGGGCTAGGGTCAGAGCTGGGAACAGAATCCAGGAGACCAGGCTCCAAACCTCCAACCACTAGACCCCACTCCCCTCCCAGAGCTGGGGATAGGACCCAGGAGTCCTGGACCCCAGCCCCCTGCTCTAACCACTAGCCCCCACTCCACTCCCAGAGCTGGGACAGAACCCAGGAGTCCTGGATCCCAGCCCCCAGCTCTCACCACTAGGCAGCCTTTCCCTTCCCCCCAGGCGCCTGGCCCGGGGCTGTTGCCCAGGTCAGCCACGCCCCCTCTCACCTGAAGTCCCCCCTCTGGCAGTCCTGGGCCAGGACGTAGGTGCAGGTGCCCTGGAAGTGCAGCAGCCGCCCGTCGAAGGTGCGGTAGTGCGGGTCGCCGAAGGCCAGGCAGGTGGCGGGGCGGGGCAGGCAGTGAGGGCAGCACATGCCTGGCGTTAGCGCGGGCGTCTCATCCTGTGCGCACAGGGGCTGTTATGGGGATGCGGGTGCCAGCCTCTGCCCCCTCCTGTCCCTGTAATGCCCACGGCTGGCTGCCCCTCTCCCATCCCCCACCCGGCCCCGTGACCCACCGCTGGCTTCCACCCTTCCCACCGCCTCCCACCCCCCGGCGTGGCTTTGGGACCCCTCACGGGGTAATGGGGTGGGCAATGGGACACCACTCACACCCCAGTGGCCAAGGCAAGTCCTCACTGGGGCCCCTGACGCGCCCCCCCTGGGCTGGAGGGGAAGGCCAGCCAAGGAGCTCGACCAGCGGGGAGAGGGAGGGGAGGGTCTAGCCGGGCCCCGGCCCGAGCGCCCCACTCACCGCGGCGCAGGCGGCCGGGGGGCAGCGCTGGCTCCGGCAGTGCACCTCCCCAGAGACGCAGGTGCAGGCGGTGCAAGTGTCCACCTGCCAGTGCTCGCTGGCCTGGTACCGCTGGCCCTGGTAGGAGCAGGAGCCGTCCGGGTCTGGGGGCAGAGCATGGAGCCAGCATTGTGGGGCCCCCCCAGGTCCAGAAGACAGCGGCCTGGGGGCAGCGCCGGGTCCTGACAAGGTGGCAGCACTGGCACGGCGCAGGCAGGGGCAGCAGGTCTGGCCCGCCCAGCGAGGGGCCGGTGATTCGAGCAGGGCACATCATGGGAGCCAGGACTCCTGGTCCTCCTCCCAGCACTGGCCCCTTCCCCTGCTCTGTGCCTCAGTTTCCCCACCCGGGGTGTAGGGCTGACACTGGTCAGCCTCACCGCAGAGGCTGTAGGGTGACCAGACAGCAAGTGTGAAAAATCGGGACAGGGTGGGGGGTAATAGGAGCCTATATAAGACAAAGACCCAAAAATCGGGACGGTCCCTATAAAATCGGGACATCTGGCCACCCTAAGAGGCTATGACGTTAACCCCGCTCAGACTGGCACCAACGCAGCCGAAGGCGCCATCTGTGCACAGCCCCTCTAACCTCTTCTGTGCTGCCCTCCGGGATCTGCCAGCGAGGGGCTGGCACCGTACTGGGCACCCCCCCGCCCCTAGGGAGCCTGGCATTGTGGAGTCCCTGGCCTGGCACCCCTCCTCTCCTGGGACGTGGGCCCTGCACCTGGCTAGCCCACCAGGAGCAGCTCCTACCTTGGCACTCGTAGCAGCAGGAGCCGGGCATCTGCACCTTCCGCAGGCCGCCCTGGCACTCCACGGGCTCGCACTCTGCGATGTGGCACTCCACGTGGCCCCGCTGCACGGCAGAGACACCAAACAGGAGTGGGAACCCGGGCCCTCGGGCAGGGCACCCGGCAGCCCTCTGCCCCTCTCCACCCCGGCCAGGCATCCCCACGGCGCAGAGGGCACGATAGCCAGTCTGCAGAGGGCACGCCTGCTGCGGGGGGGCTGCTCCATCCTTTCCACACTGAGAGGCCTGCCCTCTGCCCCCCAAACACACCCCTTGGCCTCGCAGGCACACAGGCGGGCACGCCCCCCGCCAGTTCAGTACCCCGCCCCCGCTGGCTGGGAGAAGGCAGCCCAAGCAAGGTGCCACATGGCCTGTCCGGGAATCCCTGCCACAGAGCCAGGACTCCTGGGTTCCCCTCCAGGCCCTGCCGCGGGGCCCAGGCGAAGCCCCTCCCTGCCTGGCGCCTGGGGAATCGCTGGCTGGAGGGAGAGGGGTAGGGACACAGACACACCAGGCTGGGGGCGGGAAGGGAGCCCCCAGGGCACAGACGCCCCGGGTGGGGGGGAGGGGATGCCCCAGGG